TATTCACTCTTTTAGGGTCTTACCCTAGTGTGACAGTACAGTGTTTATATATGCGGGTCTGATTTATTTCACTTATGAGTATGGTCTCTAGTTGTGTCCATTTACCTATAAAAGCCTTGAGATTACTTTTCTTTATAGCTGATTAATATTCCATTATGTAAAAATACCCAACTTTTTTATCCATTCCTCAGTTGATGGGCATTTGGGTTGCTTCCACGAAAAAAAGCACATTTTAAAGCCAGGTATAGTGGCACATGCATACAATTCCAGGTACTCAGAAAGCTGAGCCAGGAGGATAGCAATCTTATGGCCAGCCTTGACAACTTAAAGACTCTATCTTAAAAATGAAAAGAGCTAGGAGGTAGCTCAATCTCTAGTACTAGGCAGGAGTATATTCTAACATTTAGTGTGGCGATAATTTGCCTCAATTTACCACAAAAACAGTTGCTTTTAAAACCAAGTTAGGGGCTGGGAATTTAGCTCAGTGGCACAGTGCCTGCCTGGCAAGGGCAAGGTCATGAGTTTGATTCCTGTTACCGGAAGAAAAGCAAAACAAAAAAACACAAGTTAGTAAGTAAGAATAAGATATTAATATGAAATATCTAGAAAATTGCTACTGACTTTTCTTTTTGATTTATTTAAGCTTGCTGATTTTGATATCATAAAACTCTGAGAATATGGCTTTGACACCCCTGCACACCATGGTCTACACAGCTAACATTGGCATCATAAATATAATTGTAAGCAGCTACTAGGCAGTATTTTGGAGTTAAGTCTGAACAGTGGATGAAGAAAAAGTAAGGAGTATTCATGGCCACTAATTCAGCAATAAAAAAAGATTTATACTCAGGCTTCTGGCCTCTGTCACAGGAACTAAGTTATAAATCAAACGAGTGAAACATGTGCCTATCTTCCTTCTTTCCCATAGGTATTTATTGAGTGCACATGTATTAAGTGGTAGGATACAAAGATGCAAAGGATATAGTCCTATTCCCTGTCCTTTACTATATAATATTTTAAGAGAGGGGACAGCCATGTCAGCCAATATTTACAATGCAATGTGACAAGCCATAGGGCAGTATAAATAGTACGGTGCTCATATACAACAGAAGGAACAGTTAACTCTGCATCAGATAATCAAAGAAGGCTTTATTGAGATGATGTTTGAGGAAACAGGATGAGTCAAAGATGACTCTAAGCGATTCAACTGGGAATCTAAATGAGTAGGGATTCTATCAATTAAGAGAGTAAACTGGGCCTGGTGGCTCAAGCCTATAATTCTAGCTACTTAAGAGGCTAGAATTATAAGAGGCAGAGGCAGGAGGATCTCAAATTCAGGACAAGCCTAAACAAGGCTTAGTAAGACCCTGTCCTAGAATAAAATTTAAAAAGGGCTGGGGATGTTATTCAAAAGTAGTGCCCTTGTGAGGTCATGGGTTCAATCCCCAACCCTGTTAAAGGAAGAAAGAAAAAAAGAAAGAAAGTAAGAAAAGGTAGGGAAGTAGGGAGTTGGAGGAAAATGCACAGTTTACTTCAGGACATGTAGAGTTTGATATGATTGTGGGTTACAGGAATAGAGACATTCATTACACCTCTGGCATTACAATGTGTTTTAATAGTATCTGGTAAGAAAAATTTGGAATCATTAGCATATAATTTAACTCCCTGGGAATGAATGGGTTCACCTATGGCAAGTATGGCCTGAGAACAATACTTAGAGGGACAGTAGTGTTTAGGCAAAAGAAACCAAGAAGCGAGCCAGGCGTGGTGGCGCATGCCTGTAATCCCAGCACTCGGGAGGCTGAGGCAGGAGGATCCTTGCGAGTTCAAGGCCAGCCTGGGCTACAAAGTGAGCTCAATGTCAGCCTGAACTGCATAGCGAGACTCTGTCTCAAAAAGACAA